AAAAAAGCTTGAGCAGCTACTGAGGCTGCTATAGCAAAATACCTTAGATGGGGTAACTTATAAATAATATAAATTTATTTCTAACAGTTCTGAAAGCTAGAAAGTCTAAGATAAAGGTGCCAGCAGATGCGGTGTCTGGTGAAGGATGGCTGTCTGCTTCAAAGATGATACCTTGTTGCTGCTCACATGGCTAAAGAGGCAAATGCTGTGTCCTCACATGGAGGAAGAAGCAAGATAACTCCCTTTAACTTCTTTTATAAGGGCATGAATCTCATTCATAAGGGTGGAGCCCTCATGACTTAATCACTTCCCAAAAGTCTTCACCTCTTGAATCTTCAGATCCAGATCCATAGTCTGTATCCATTGGGCCACTGGCCTCTTAATACCACCACAATGGAGATAAGGTTTCAACATGAATTCAGAGGGTTGCATTCAGACCAGAGCAAGCTAGAGTCTGTATTATATGCTGAGACTGCAAAATCAAATAAGGAAAGACCTCTAACCTTAAGCCTTTCTACCCAAAAGGAGAGTGGAGGTATGGCAAGAGAGAATCAAGCAGGTAAAGAAATTCAGTAGAAATAAGTTTTCCTATATGGGTTATATGGCATGCTGTGAACTACTGTTTCAAAAACCCAATAAATGAAAAAAATCTTCGAGATATATTAAGTTCTGAGCTTTCTGAGGTATTAATGTACTGTAGTTTTCCACTTAAAACTAGCCATAAAGAAATGCAATCCAGCAACTGTTTCCATGGAAACAGTAGGACAAATTCACCAAGCACTACTCCCCAATTCAATGTTTCATGGCCATGTACACATAATTTAAGATGGACATTTTGATAATGAGTTAGAGTGGAACTGTTAATGGACAACAGTTATTTACTTAAAGCTTTTTCTTTCCAACTACCTGTCATTAACCATTATTGGAAGACTGTAAAATGATATCTTTCCTTATATATGAAGGCACTTTCTCTTGAATAGTTAGAGCCCCTAAGCAATATCAAGTGTCCGAGCTACTTTTCATCAAAACAACAAAAGTATTTCTTTGTAGTGTATTCATTTGTACTTCTCACTTAATTTCAAATAAAATTGTTTGGATTTAAAAATTTAAATATTTCTTAAGTTCAATGTTTTTCAAAGTCTATATATTTAATATTTCTGTGTTTTGGTGAGTATAAACATTTTGCTGTCAATTCTTTTTTATAAACTTTCTTGCTATATTAGAATATATAGAGACGAATATGGTATTCAGTTTCTATATTATCATATATCATCACCAAAATCAATAAAGATATTGGTATCAGATATCTGTATCTTAATTTCTTATATGTTTACATCTTACTTAGGTAATTGAAATATTGCTTTACCCATACCATGAATTAGATGCAATTTCCAATGGGAAGTTAAAAGCTGTGCAATTGCTTTGAACTAAAACCTTTAAGTAAGTTAATGAAGCATGTGCTTTTTAGATTCAGTAAGCAGATCATAATGGAATAAGGAAGTTGAGCTCTTTGTAGCATTAAATTCTCTCTTAACTAGCCCCTTAGCTTATATAGATTTCACATGTCAGGTTCTAATCTTGTAAATATAAAGATTAGTTCAACATAAGATTGAAAATGGCCTTCTAAAATAGAGTGCCTCGGCCCGAATTTTTGGGCTATGACAGGCTAGCACTCTGGAAAAAATAAGAAAACATATTCTAAGCTGTATAGAACATTGGAATATCTGACGGCACAGAAAGGTGATGAGGATTTCTGAAGCCAAATGACTTAACTCTTGTTGCTGAAAATTTGCATTTTGCTTTGAAGATGTTTGGACGTTAATCTATGTATTTTGTATTGTGTACTTGACCTCAGCACTTTCTTCCTCTTGTATCCTTTAACCATAGCAACTAGGTAAGGTCCTTGCACATATTGGTATTGTATTCATTAAACATTGATGAACGGCAAATTCAAGTAACTAAAAATAGACATCTGTGAAGCTGCTAGGCTGCAGGGATTAAGGGTAAAATCAGTTACTGTCAAATGCAGAAGCTAAAACGCTTACAATTTACCCTTCCTGTTGGTAATCAGGAGATCTATTTGTAGAGCCACAGTCTTCTTGACCCTCTAATAGGCTACCCAGTAAGAAAGCCTCCTTTTAGGTGACTACACAAAAGCGGGTATTCTTCCTGTCCATAATTTTATTTCTAAAACTTTTTGGGACACAGTAGCTAATTTTTATCCTAAGGTACCTGAATATGCATACCTACAGGCAGAATATGTCACTCTTCATCAGATGTC